TCGTCGCCACGCATTGGCTTTCGAAAAAACGTCAGGCGTCAGGCTTCGTCGCCACGGCTGGATTCGGCAACCTCTCGTTGCTATGTTGGCCCCGCACCTCGGGCCCTGATCCGACGAGGCGAATTTCCCCCAGCAGGGGCACCTCCAGAGAACCCGTTTGACCAGGTCCTACGTCGTCGTCGTCGTCGTCGTCGTCGTCGTCTTCGTCGTCGTCGTCGTCGTCGTCGGTCGGCGCCGTCGTCGTAGACGTTGTCGTCGTAGTTCCCATCCGTCTCGAGGCCCTCCACGCCCGCCGACGAGATAGGGGATAGGGGATAAGGGATAGGGGATAGGGCCATGCGGAGGGGGAGGCGGACTTGACGATGAGCATCGGGGGATGGGCTCGAGGTGGATGGAAGGGGGGTGGAATGTGACTTGAGTGGGAAGAGAGGACGGGGACCGGGGGGAAACCCGCCCGAAGGGTTACCGCCCATAGCCCATAGCCCATAGTTTATAGACCCATATGGTCCACCAGATTCCTTTAGTCTGATAGGGTTCCCGATTTCTATTGGTGTCAAATAGGGGGCCCGAGTTGTACGGATATCGGATATCTCATAATGGGGTTCAAATTAATTCAGTAGCAATATTTCAATCATTATTTTCCAACTAAAAAACACAATTCAACAGCCATATGCCATATAAAATATGAGTTATAAAATATAAACTATGGGCTGCTGTGCGTAGCCAAATTTCGGCACATATAGAAACTGGGCATGTTAACGTGTTAAGTGTTAAGTGTGAACTGTACTGTAAACTGTTAACTGTTAGCCATTTACAGCTTACATTTATTTATTGCGCAGATTGACCAAATAAAATTCACATCTTCACAATTGGCTGGGATGATTGACAGATTGACCAGACACAAGTCACTGGGAGGGCTGACCAGTTGATCATATAATATTCACACTTAGCAAGTAACATATTTACCATATTGAGAAAACTCGCTGTGACTATTGACAAATTAACACTATTGACCAGATAAGATTGACAGATTGACTTTATAAGATTGGACACGTTGACCATATGCATGCCGCCCTATGAGATGCCACCCGCGGGGCCGCCCCATGGGATGCCGAAAATGTCGACTCGACCCAAGGCGATGAAGTCGGCGCCGCCCGCGGGGCCGCATCAACCCATGGCGCTGATGCCGAAGAGAGCGCAGCCAACGTCAAAGGGCCCGCCCCCGTAGAAACGCCCAATGCCGCCCAAGGACCCGCTGCCTGCCAGCGCCTGGGCAGAGCCTGGGCAGCGCCTGGGGGCACCAAGCAGCGCCTGGGCAGCGCCTGCGGCACCAAAGACCAAGGATCGCCCGGGGGCGCCTGGGAGCGCCGGGGGCCGTTCGGAGGCGCCTGGAGACGCCCGGCAACGCCCGAGACCCAGGAGCGCCTGGAGAGCGCTTGGACGCGTCTCGGCGTCGCGTAAGGCAGCGCTTGGGAACTCCTGAGGAGCGCTCAGGAACGCCTGGTGCGTCTGGGCACGCCTGGGAGCGCCTGGGCAATGCCTGGGCAGCGCCTGGGCAGCGCCTGAGAGCGCCTGGGGGCGCCTGGGAACGCTGGGGGCTCGGGGCCGCTAGGAAGCGCCTGGGGGCGCCTGGCAGCGCCCAAGAGCGCCTCGGGGGCGCTTGGAAAAGCTTCGGGCCCGCGCAAAGCAGCGCTTGGAGCTCTTGGGGAGCGCAAAAGAGCACCTGGTGCGTCTAGGGGCGGCTGGAAGCGCCTCGCAGCGCCTGCCGGCCCCTGGGCAGCGCCCGGGCTGCGCCCGGGGGCGCCAGGCAGCGCTGTGGAACGCCTGGGAGCTGCGAGCGCTTAAGGGCGCTTGTACGCGCGCCGCGCGGTAGTTTGCGCTGGGGATGCTGGCCGCTCGCGCACGAAACCATGTGTTTTGCAAGGGCGGGCGGGGGGGTGCGCAAGGTGATGCGCGCCGCGAAGTATCTGTTGCGCATGATTCTGGCGCGCCAGGCGTCCTCACACGCACCGGGCGCTCCGATGCGCCTGCGCGTTCCCCTGGAGCCCCCAAGCGCCCGCCAAAACGAGCGCGGGGCTCATCCAAGCCTGGGGGCGCGTCCATCACCATCGCCAGCGCCATCATCATCGTCATCAATATCACCATCAGCATCGCCAGCACCATCAGCACCATTATCATCGTCGACGCGTTTGAATTCTATATGTCATGGGACATTGGCGGGTGACAAGTCGGATCGCCAAGTTGGCTCTATGCTCTAAGCCCTAGGCCTTAAGCCTTAACCATTTCAGATTTAAGCCATTAGCCATTAGCCCTTTAGCCTTGAGCCCTAAACCCGAGGCCCTGAGCCCCAAACCCTGGGCCCTCATCTTTAGGCTCTGAGCCCTGAGCCATAAGAACTAAACCCTGAGCCCTGGCCCTTGAGCCCTGAGCCCTGGGCCCTGAGCCTTGAGCCGCAAGCCCTGGGCACTCAGGCACTAGGCCCTGAGCCCGAGGTGCAAACGCGCACACCATGTGCCCGCGCTGGCGTCTCGTCGCGCATGCGACGCAATCTTGTGTCAAATCGCTAGAGAATTTGGTGGAACTGCACATCGGCCGCAATGTTTGAAATAATCTGGCGCGCTGCCATCTCGTCGAGCGTCTTCTCTCGGCGCGCGGCCGAGCCGCGCCGCTCGCTTCGCGGTCCATTTCGAACGACTTCAGACGCCGCAAACGTCGACCTTGGTCGCCGAAAAGGTCGACCTTGGTCGCCGAAAAGGTCGACCTTGGACCCGAAATTTGCGACCTTGCCCAGAGACCCCCCACCTTGGGCCCGGAAAGCCCCGGAAGACCTCCGGAAGATCCCACCTTACCATGGTCGACCCTCCCACCTTGGGCCCGGAAAGCCCCGGAAGGCCCCGGAAGACCTCCGGAAGACCCCACCTTACCCAAGGTGGCAAGGTCCCCCTGATGCACCATGCCAGCCAGCCCAGGGTCAGAAAATTGCACCCTGGGCTCGCGCCCAGCCCCCGGACGCACAAGTGCGACCCAGAATGGCGCGCCGCTGGCCCATTTTGCACAGCGATTGTCTCGTCGCAAAGCAGCGCGCGGCGCCCGGGGGAGCGCGGCCTGGGGCGCACATCCCCCGGCCATTCCCAATGTCCCGTGGCAGAAGCATCGCGACGCGACAAGGCGCGGGCGCGCGGCGGCGGCGCCCGCCCCCCATCTCGGAGTTCGAGAGTCGCGGGGGCGCAGCGGCCCGACATAATCTGCTGCCTGGGGCCTGGGCCCTCCGCCCTGAGCCTTGAGCTCTTTGCCCTTAGCCTTAGGCCTTGAGCCCTGAGCCATTAATTCTGGGCCCCGGCCCTTCAGCCCTGAGCCTTAAGCCCCTGGGCCCTAAGCCTTGAGCCCTGAGCCTTACGCCCTGCACCCTGGGCCCTCAGCTCCGAGCCTTAAGAACTAAGCCCTTAGCCCTCAGCCCTTAGCCTTCGGCCCCTAGGTCCTATGCAGCCCTGAGCCTTGCGCCCTGCGCCTTGGGCCCTAAGCCCGATGCCCTCGGCCTTCGGCCTTCGGCCCAAGGCCCTCAGCCCCAAGCCCTGAGCCCCGAGCCCTGAGCCTCAAACCTTAGGCCCTGAGCTCGGAGCCCTAAGAATTAATCTGCAATTCCTCAGCCCTAAGCCCTCAGCCCGAAGCCAAAAAGCTTAAGCCCTCAACCTCTACCCTCAACCCTCAGCCCTGAGCCATGAGCCTTAAGCCCTAACCCCAATGCCTTGAGCACAGAGCCCTGAGCTCGAAGCCCTAAGTCCGAAGCCATAATCCCTTGACCCCTAAGCCAGTAGCACTTAGCCTTGAGCCTTGACCCCTAGGCCCCGCAACCCACACCCTGGACCCTCAGCTTCAGGCTCTGAACTCTGAACTCTGGCCTGAGCCCTGAGCCCGAAGCCCTAAGTTTTGAGCCCTGAGCCATTAGTTCTGAGCCCTGGCCCCTGGCCCTTCAGCCCTGAGACTTCAGCCCGAGTCTTGGGCCCTGAGCTCTACGCCCTCAGCCCTGAGCCCTGAGCCCTCAGCTCCGAGCCTTAAGAAATAAGCCCTAAGCACTAAGCCCTAAGTCCTAAGCCCGAAGTCCTAAGCTCCTAAGCCCTGTAAGCCATGTAAGCCATGTAAGATGTAAGCTGCAAGCCCTGTAAGCCCGAAGCCCTTAGCCTTCAGCCCCTAGCCCTGCGCCGCGACCTACGCCCCCAGCCCTAGGCCCTAAGCAGCCCTGAGCAAGGAGAAGGGAGGAGGAGGAGGCGGAGGAGGGGAGATGGGGAGGGGGAAGAAATGAGTAATGAATAATGCGCATTGAATTTCGAATAATGAAAATGTGGTAATGAGGTAATGAGGTAATGAGTAATGAGATAATGAGTAATGAGTCATTAATGAGATAATGAGTAATGGGTAATGAGAGTAACAAAGTAATGTATAATGTGGTAATGTCGTTCCGTCGTTCCTGCCCCCGCACCCCTCTACCCTCTGCCCTCCGCCCTCTCCCCAAACATCTTTCTGAGGCGGCGGGGAGATTATCCTAGTCTCCTGCGCCGCCGTCCCCGGTCCTAGCCTCGAGCCCTGTCGTCGTCGTCGTCAAGGATTGCTGCATGCAAGGACGTGTTGCGAGGGGTGAGGGGGCTCGCGGCGTGAGGGTGCATTGCAGCATCGCTGGTGCATCCTGGGTTTACTCAGGACCTCCTCCTCCTCCTCCACCTCCTCCTCGCCCATGGGACTCTGCAGCCCCCGGGGCCCCTGGGGCCCTCCCCGACTCCTGCGCCAACTGTGTCGACAAACGACGGTGCGATAGAAGAGACGCAGAACGCACGACAACACTGAACCTGGAGTACATGTAGCAGCTCCCTGGCTCGAGTAAGTAATAAGCTACAGGGTTCAGGCTACAGCAACTACTCGCGCAGCCTGTGCACTGCACAGTGCACAGCGCACAGCGCACAGCCTTCTCTGCGGCTGCCCCTGGGCCCCCGTCCAGCGACGCGCAGCAGCAGGGCACAATGCCAATGTTCAAGCAGGCGTCGTGGTCCCAGAGCTTAGTGGGCGAAGGGCCAGATGAGGACATCGGGGAATACGCGATCTACATGAAGAAAGCCATGACGCAATTGCAGATCACGGCCTGCCACATGGAAGCGTCAAGGACGGTGACGGACATCAAGGTTGACGGACATCAAGGTGGAGTGGGCGACCAGCGACGCAGCCCCAATCTTGGACCATTGAGCCTCGGGGGCAAATTAGTAGCCCTCGCCAGATTCATGCCTCATGCCTCATGCCCATCTAGAGGGGGCTGGATTGAGATTCAAACTGGCCATGGAGGAGGATGATGATGAGGGGAAGTTGAACGATAGTAGATAGTATGGATGGCGAAAGGGAAGAGGAAGGATATGAGGGGGATGAGGAGTTAACAGTTAACCGAAATCAAACGTACCAAGTACCTACGTACCCTCGGCGGACGAAACTGGGAGGGATGAGGACGAGGATGAGGAGGAGGAGTAAGGATAGGAGATAGGAGGTGGGAGGTGGGCTGGGCTGGCATCTAGTTCTGAGATTCCCACCCCGAGGCTCGAGGCTCGGGGCTGTGTAAGTTTCAAGTTTTACTTTAGGTGGTAGATCGCCAGGTCTAGGGGGAGTTGGGCCACGGTCCAGGGAGCCACGCGTGCGCCTCGAGGGCACGGTGGCACAGGCCACCGTGAGGAGTCAAAGCGTGCTTGGATCAATGCGGCGGTCGTCGAGATGAACACGACTTGAATTTTGAAACAATTATCGAATGATTGTCGTCCTCTCACCCTGCGGCCGCCTCAAGGCTGCTCCCATATAATCAATATCGCGCCTAATCAATATCGCGCCTCAATCATCAATATCGCGACGATCGGCAATCTTCGAAACATATTTGGGCAAACTCGGGTTCTCTTGGGGGCGTCTTGGACGTCTTGGAAGCGTCTTAGGGTTGTGCTGGAGGCCGTTTGAGGCCGTCTTAGCCATCTTGGAGGGCATCTTGGATTGTTTTGGTGCCATCCTGGAACCATCTTGGTGCCGTCTTGGAGCCATCTTGGAACAACTACTACTGACCTCGATTGACCTTGCAAGTGACCTTGAACCTTGAAAACCCCGACCTTAAACCTTGAAATTCGAGGCCCAAAACCTTGACCTTAAACGGACGACCTTGACCCTCGGGGGGTGTCCTCCTTGTTGCGCCGCGTGCGCCGCCTCAAGACATATCGTTCGAACGCGCTCAAGATGGCCCCCAGACGACCCACAAGGCTTCCAACACGGCCCAAAGCGACGCCAAAATCATTGATTGTCCTTCGATTTTTGATGGATTTCAGACACCCCACGAGGGCGCCGAGACGGCCCACGAGGGCGCCGAGACGGCCCAGGAACGCCCTGCCGCGGGCACGAGGTGGGGCCCTCGCGCCGGGAGGCCCGGGGGCCCTGCCGTGGCGCTGGGGGCCTTGTGAAGGACGGCCCTGGATTGCCAGAAATGGCGTTTCCAGACAACGAACACGACCAATGACCGCCCGAAATCACCCCAGAATTAGTCCCTTACTGTCCAAGAGGCTTCCAAGACGCCCCAAGAGGTCTCCAAGATGGCTCCCAAGGAGCCCCAGGAGGCACAACTAATTAGTTTTCCTTTGGTTTTTGATCGATTTTCGAGATCTCGCCTTTTGAGTTTCCTGACGCCCCACGACGGCCCAAGAGGCTTCAATTTCCGCTCCAAGGCATCCCCAGAAGCTTCGAAGACGGTTTCAAGACAGCCCACGGGGGTCCCAAGACGGCGCCAGAGGCGCCCAAAGCGGAGCGAGAGGGCCCCAACACGGCCCCAAAATGGAGGGTTGACACGACGCGAAAATCCGAGTCTTCCATCCCGAGAGGCTCTCAGGAGGCCCCGAGAAGCCCTAACAGGCTCCAAGAGGCCCCAAGAAGCCCCCCCAGGGGGCCGAAACGTATCCAAGAGGCCTCCCACGAAGGCCCCAAGAGGCACATATCCATGTCTTGCCGTAGGTGTTTGATTGATGTTCGATTTTTCAGCCTTTTGGCGTCCTGACGCTCCAAGGCGGCCCCAAAGGCCTCCAAGACCAATCCAAGATCGCCCACGAGGCTTCCAACAGGGCCCAAGACAGCCCGACAGGGCACCAATACGTGGCCCAAGAGGGGTCAGACGAACCGAAAATCCGAGCCCTCCACCCCGAGAGGCTCTCAGGAAGCCCCAGAGGCCCCCAAATGGGACCCAAGAGGCCCTCAAGAAATTCCCCAGAAGGCCGAAGATATTCCAAGAAACGATGTTTTCCCATCGGTTTTTGATGGATTTTAAAGTTCTCAGCCTTTTGGCTTCCCGACGCTCCAAGACGGCCCAAGAGGCCCCCAAGACCGCAGAGGCCCCCAAGAGGGCCCCAAGACGGCCCACGAGGGCCCCAAGACGGTGCCCGAGGCGCCCAAGACGGCCCGAGAGGGCCCCAAGAGGGCCCCAAAAGAGCCCCAAGAAGGTGAACGCGAACCCAACAGCAGAGCCTTTCGCCCTAAGAGGCCCACAGGAGGCCCCAAGAGTCCCCAAGTGGTTCGACGAGGCCCACCAAAACCCCCCACCAGGCAACAAAAAACTCACAGGAGACGTACACTGGGCCAATCAAAATTGCTTCAAGGAGGCCCCGGGAGGCCTCCGGATTGCCCCAATGTGGCCTCAAGCCGGGCCTCTACGCAGCCAAGGCGGCCAATTGTCTGCTTCAGGCTGCAGAACATCACTTTCCGACTGCCCGGAGAACCCTGACGATGCACCCAAAGGACCCCAAGAAACCCCAAGATGCCCCCCGAGAAGCACTCAAGATGTGCCTGCAACAGCCAGTTGAGGAAGCATGGAGGGCCCCCCAGAAGCCCTTCAGATGCCCCCACGATGACCCAAGAGGTTTCCAAGAGGCCCTCAGGAGGCACGACTATGCCACGCGCCTGTGCTTGATAGCGCTGTCCAAGATCCTCAAGCGCGCCCCTGGCCTGGGCTAGAACCTGAGCGCGCGCGAAGCGCGCGCGATGGTTCTAGTGTATGTATGTATGTATGTATGTATGTATGTATGTATGTATGTATGCATGCATGTATGTATGTATGTATGTATGTATGTATGTATGTATGTATGTATGTATGTGTGTGTGTGTGTGTATGTATGTATGTATGTATGTATGTATGTATGTATGTATGTATATATATTATATATATATATTATATTACAGGCAGACACACATATATATATATATATATATATTATATATAATATATATATATATATATATATATATATATATCGGGGTAGGCCGGGGGGGGGGCGGCTGCTGCCTCTGGTCGCCATGAGGGCCCTCCCGGGCCATTTTTTGGCACCCTCACGAGAATCGTGGCCCCCTCGCCGAAAATTCCAGCCCTCAGTCTCCAGAGGCCTCCGAAGAGGCCACAAGAGGCCCCAAGTGGTCCCCTGAGGGCCCCAAGAGAGCCCCAAGAGGGCCCCTGAGGGCCCCAAGAGGGCCTTCAAGAGCCACACGTCGGCACATGTCCGTTGTAAAACGTACATGTTCGGCATTACTCGCTGGCTTCGTCTTCACAGTGCCCCAGACGCCCCCACCGAGCCCCAAGACAGCCCAAGAGAGACCCAAGAGGGCCCCAGACGGCCCAAAAGGGTCGGCTTGTGGGGATCACCGAACCCCCCGAGACGGCCCAAGAGGCCCCAAAGCCGGCCCAGGAGGCCCCCAAGACGGCCTCAGGGAGGCCCAAGAGGGCCTCAATCGAAATCATGTTCCCGGAAGCCTATCCGGGAACATGGTTTCCGGGGTCCGAGGGTGCCCAAGAGGCCCACAAGACAGCCTCAGCGAGGCCCAGAGGGCCCGAGATGGCTTGACGATGGCCGAAGAGGGCCCCAAGAGGGCCTTCACGAGGCAAAAATCTGACCATTTCTGTTGTAAAACGTGCGTTTTCAGCATACTTGCTGGCTTCGTCTTCGCAGTGCCCCAGACGCCCCCACGGAGCCCCAAGACAGCCCGAGAGACCCAAAACGGCCCCAGACGGCCCAAAAGGGTCGGCCTGTGGGAATCACCGAACCCCCCGAGCCGGCCCAAGAGGCCCCGAAGCCGGCCCAGGAGGCCCCCAAGACGGCCTCAGGGAGGCCCACGAGGGCCCCGCTCGAAATCATGTTCCCGGAGGCCTCTCCGGGAACATGGTTTCCGGGCTCCCAGCGCTCCATACTGGGCCCCAGGACAGCTTCAGCGAGGCCCCAGAGGGCCCGAGACTGCTTGAAGATGGCCGATGAGGGCCCCAAGATGGCCTTCACGAGGCAAAAATCTGACCATTTCTGTTGTAAAACGTGCGTTTTCAGCATACTTGCTGGCTTCGTCTTCGCAGTGCCCCAGACGCACCCGCGGAACCCCAAGACAGCCCAAGAGAGACCCAAGAGGGCCCCAGACGGCCCAAAAGGGTCGGCCTGTGGGGATCACCGAACCTCCCGAGACCGCCCAAGAGGCCCCGAAGCCGGCCCCCCAAGACGGCCTCAGGGAGGCCCAAGAGGACCCCGTTCGAAATCATGTTCCCGGAAGCCTCTCGTGGAACATGACTTCCGACTTCCGAGGACGCCCTAGAGGGCCCCAGGACAGCCTCAGCGAGGCCCCAGAGGGCCCGAGATAGCTTCAGGATGGCCGAAGAGGGCCCCAAGAGGGCCTTCAAGAGGCAAAAATCAGCCCGTCCCCGTAGTAAAACGTACATGCTCGGCGCGAGACAACTGGCGAGTGCATTATGTTTAGTGCGAGTGGCACTTGGGCACCTGCGGCGGGCATACTCGCACCGTCCGCGGCCATTTTGGCTTTAGCGCTGACGTGCGGCTCTCGCTGTGTCCCTGCCGGTCCATCTGGGGCTTCTCTTCGGCTCTGGCGATGGATTTCGGCGGCTTCGGCGACGCGCCGCCGGCTCAGGCACCCTTCGGGGGTGGCGCTCATCGTGGGCCGTTCCCCAAGGCAGCGGCCGCGCCGCGGGGCGCGCCGTCGGCCACGGCGGGGCTCATGCTCCACACCACTCTCGAGACTACGGGTTTCGGAGACCTCGCCACGGCGTTGGTGGCTGGCGTCGGCGGCGACTTGAGCACCACCGTCACGGACTCCGTGGCCGTCCCAGAGCAGATCTTGGTCGACATGATCGGCCAGCTCGAGGTCGAGGGCGTTCCCGCGTGTGGCATCGTCCGCAGCCGCGCGGTGCGTGCGATTCGGGCCGTCTTCGACGTCGCGGGGCTGCCACCGCCAAGCTTGGGCGCGTCAATGCCCCCACCTCCTGCCGCGCGGCCTTCCGGGGCCACGCAGGACGAGCCGTCGCCAGGCGACAACAAGCGGCGGTTCTCGGATCTCATCGACCAGGCGGCGGAGGGCACCTTCAACCTTCTTTCGAAGGACGACGTTGCGGCGGCGCGCCTGAGGTACGTCACCGTCACGGGGGGCCCCCCTCCGGCGCACGCGCGGCCCTCGGCTGAGCAGATCTCGGGGCTCGCGGCGCTGCTCAAGGCCAAGGCTTCGCCCTACGTCGATTTCGGCGTGTTTGGGACGTACGGCCGCAGGAGGGCGAAAGCCAGGAAATTCGAGGCCCAAACCTTCGTCGAAGGGCGCCTCGAGACGAGGATGCTGACGGGCCCTTCGAACTTCGAGGCATGGAGGTCGTCCTGGCTGGTCTTCCGCTCATGCGTGATCTGCCTCGGGGCCGCCCCGCCCGCGGTTTTGGACGAGTACGAAGAGGGCATCCGCCAGCTGTCCATCTTGTACCCGTCCTATTGGGGCGTCATCCTGAGGGCCGACGACACGGTCAGGTCCGAGAAGTGGGACGCGCTCCTGGAGGAGTACCTCGACGCCAACCCCGACGACGACCAGGCGCGGGCGCGCGTCATCCGCGCCTCTGCCTTCGGCGCCGAGCCGGCGGTCTCCAAGTTGGGCCATTGGTGGTGGATGCACGTCGGCGCCCCCTGCACTAAGGAGGGCGGCGAAGCCGGCGCTCTCGTCGACCGCTTGGAGGGCGCGCCAGCTGGGGCGCTACCGGGCCCCACAGCCCCGCCGCCCCGCGCTCCGGGGGCCCGGCAGCGTGGCCCGCGGGGCGGCGGCGGCCCGGCTGGCGGCCAGCAGCGGGCGCAGCCTCCGCAGCAGCGGCAGCCGCAGCCACCGGGCCCGGCAAGGCAGGGTTCGGGCGCAGGCGGGGGCGGCGCCCCGGCCAATGACAAGTCCACCGAGGTGTGCAACCTCTGGAACAACAAACCCAACGGATGCAGGACGCCGTGCACGTGGGGCCGCCGACATGTCTGCCGTGTCTGCGGCGGCCCGCATCGGGCCGTCGAGCAGCATTGAAGGGGGGCGCGGGCCCGGGGCCGCGGGGGCAGCGCCCCGGGCCTGAGCGCCCCCCTTGCGTCGCCAGCGACGCCTCCCCCCGCGCACGTCGCTCCTGCGGCATCGCCGCCCCTGGGCCCGCCGCCCAGCGGCGCGGCCGCAGGTCCCGCGGACGACGCTGACGCGGCGGTGGCGTTGCTAGCGCGCACCGCCTCCGGCCGCGTGCACCGGCGCGTTCTCCGCGGCGGGGAGCAGGCGTCCGCCGCAGACGTGAAGCGGTCGGAGGATGCCGCTTGCCAGGCGGGTTTGCGAAACCCGGGGAACCTATGGCGTGCGTGGCCTGGCCTCTGGTCCACAATGGCGCCGATCGCTGATCTCATTGCGGAGCACCGTCAGCGGGAGCCCCTGCTACAAGGGCTGGCCGGCGCGCGCGGCGCCGAGCCGGCGCGCCCGCCGCCGCCGGCGGAATGCCTGCTGCCGCTGCGCCGCGCGCTCGCCCGGCACCTTGGCATCGGGGCAGCGGCGGCGGAGCGGCACCACCCCGCCTCTTCGTGGCGACCTGAGATCGTGCGCTAGGTGCAGCGGCAGGCAGGGGACCCTGTCCGAGCCATTGCGGATTGGCTACTGGAGTGCGCGCCGATGGGGATCACGCGGGACATCCCCCTTGGCGGGCTTTTCCCCGCGGCGGAATCCGAGGCGTCAATGGATTTAGACGCGCTCCTCGAGCGCGCGGCCGACTTGGGGAACCACCCTTCCTTCTACGAGTTGCGCGGCCGGGATCGGCCGCCAGGCGTCGAGCAGCTCCAGCGCTTGGTCAACCAGGGGTTCGGGATCCTCTTCGAGGACCGCGCGGCGGCGGAGGCCTTCTACTCCACCGCCGTTTTCCCGGCGCCCCTCGGGAACATCACTCGAACGAAGCCCGACGGCGCGACCAAGCACCGCATCATCCAGGATCTGAAGGTGAACCTCGTCAACTCGGCGGTGACCCTCGCGGAGCGCCAGGTTCTGCCGACGATCATCGACCACGCGTTGGACGTCGCCCTGCTTTCCTCCTGGGCTCAGGAGGGCGGCGTGTCCTGGACGCTGGCGTTGGACTTCGCGGACGCCTTCATGTCAGTGCCGTTGCACCCGGACGAGCAGCCGTTCAATTGCGCGCACGTCGGGCACGCATTGCGGAGGGACAGGCCGCCGGCCTACCCGCAGGAGGCGCGCGAGGGGGCGATTCGTGGTCTGGCGGGTCCTGGGGTTCGGCGGCAAGCCCAACCCCGTCGTGTTCGGGCGCGTGGCGCCCTTCGCCGCACGCGCCGCGCAGGCCCTGCTCCGGCCATTCGCGCGGTCGGGTTGTGGCCGCGCTGCCGCCGCCGCTGGTCGCCTGCAGCTCTACGTCGACGACCCGGTTCTCACCGTGGCGGGCACGCCGGCAGCAGCGCAATTGGCGATCGACCTTGCCCTGACTTGGTGGCCCCTCCTCGGGGTGCCTCTCGCTTGGAAGAAGGGCGCGCTCTACGCGCGCGAGCACCTGTGGATCGGAGCCATGTTCATTCCGTATTCGCCCGGCGAGGTTCACGTCATGCTGCCCACGGAGTTCTTGGCAGATCTCTTCAGGCTCCTCGAGCCCTTCGCGGCGGGGTCAGGCCATGCGTCCGTGGCGGCTGCCCGCCGCGTCGTCGGGAAGTGCGCGCGGGTGGCCTACGTGGTCCCCGACGCGGCGCCCTTCGCGGCCGCTCTCTGGGGCGCCCTTGCTGGCGCTGCGGCAGCCGACCGGGAGGCACCTCCGGGTCGCGTCGCGCGCAGGAGGTTCGGGGCTGCCGCAAGGTGGATGCGGGCGCTCGTCAACCCTTCCGGTCTCGACCTGCTCCCCCTTCGGCGAGTCGTCAGGGCCCAGGATGAGCAGCGGGGGCGCGCTTCCGACGCCGTGGTGAAGTTCGACGCTTCCCCGTGGGGCGGCGGCGCAGCGCTCTACAGGCGCGGCGTCCCTGTGGAGTTCTTCGCCCTCACGTGGTCGGACGACGTCTGCGGTCTATTCAACGTCGGCACGGGCGACCCCAGGCACCAGTCTTTCTGAGAGTACCTCACAGTGTTCCTGGTGTTGTGCGTGTGGGGAGATCCGTTCCGTACCGAGGTCCTCACCATATGATTGCGGGCGACAACGTCGCGGCTCTGGAGGGGGCCCTCGACTTCCGTGGCAAGGGCCTCCTCAACCACATCACCCGTGAGATCGCATGGCGGCGCGCGCGGCGCCGGTGGGAGTATGTGGTCTCGCACTTGCCGGCGGAGCACAACGAGACCGCCGACGCGCTGTCCCGGCCGGCCGCGCCGGACCCCGCTGAGCTCCCGGCGGAGCTCACCGAGGCGGAACGGGTCGGCGCGCCCAGCGTCCCCGAATTTCAGGTGTTGCGCCCACCAGGAAACAAAACGAGGGCCTCGACAAATTTGTTTTTGCATTTTTTCATGTATTTATTGGTGGCGTCAAACGCGGTCGTCGCCGATCGCTTGCCCTGATTTAGCGATTTCGGTCGACGGAGGCACGCGAATCGCGCGAGTTTCCTTCTCGTAACTGCTTTTGCCGTGTGCCGCGTTTTCATGGCGCACGTGCCGCGCCTGGCCCTTTCAGATTCAATCGCTCGTACTAGTGCGCGGGCCGCACGCAGGCCGCAGTCCACGCGCGCTTGCGCGGCGCACCGCAGCGCGCTTCGAAACGATGTTGGGCACAATGGCATTTTTAGCGCAACGCCGCGAAATTGTTAGCCACCTCGCGCGGGTGATGCCGAACGCACGCGTGTCCACCGCATGTGCGCCGCCGGAGCTAATTTTCCGATTTCGGTCGTGAATAGTATCGCGGGCGTGTGTCAGGCGCCTTCGACGCGCCATGTAGGCCCGCGCCGTGCGCGCCCACGCATCAGGTCAGAAACATATCATCTTACTACTTCCGCGTAATGCAGCGCGTGCGTTGCAACGCTGTTAGCCAAGGGCGCTGGTGCGTCGCCGAAAACCACAGCCAGGTTCCCTTGGCAGGAGGACTGGCGGGGGGCGCTCATATTCACCACCTTAAGGGGAGCCGCCAATGGTTCTCTCACGGTCCCGTTCGCAGCCGTTTTGTGGGGATGTCTCAAGCGGTGTGCTTGTTTTCTGTCCCAGCATCCTTCGCTCTCGGAGTAGATTTGGAGGATGTCTCGAGCGAGGCGCTCCACTTCACCCCCCCAGGTGGGCCAGATTTTGAGGATGTCTCGATCGGTGGCCAGACTCGTGGGCGCTGGTTTTCCTGGGGATGCCACAGGAGGCTCCAACAGGTTCCAGGAGGCCCGTGGAGACCACATGAGGTCCCAGGATGAATCAGGATGCCACAGAAAGACCCAAGAGGCCACAGGATGCCCCAAGAGGCTCTAGGAGGCCCCAGGAAGCTCCTGGAGGCTTCAGGAAGCCACAGGAGGCCCCAGGAGGCCAGAGGAAGCGCCAGGAGGTCTCCGGAGGGCAACAGGAGGCCCCGAGAGGCCCCAGGAGCAGGAGGCCTCAGAAGGCAACAGGGGTGGTTCCAATCCCATGTGTTTTACGTATGCTCTCATATATTGGGCCTCACCTGGGGCACGAATCCTTGATGTTATACGTATGTTTCTATAGATTGTCCATATCCTGTGTACTTATGTTCCTATAGGGCCTCTCCTAGGGCACGACTCCTTGGTGTTGTACGCGTGTTCCTATAGATTGTCCCTTTTTTTTCTGCGGCTCCAAGTCGCAATGTTTTATGTACGACTGTTGCTATAGATTGGGCCTCTCCTCGGGCACGAATCCTCCCTAGGAGGTCCCAGGAGGCCCCAGGGGGCCCAAAGAGGCTCCTGGAGGCCCCAAGAAGCCCCAGTAGGTCCCCAGGAGGCCCCAGGAGGCCCCAGGAGGACCCAGGGACATGCGCAGAGACGCGCTCGTACTACTGAGGCTCATTCACACTCCAATTGATTCTCAGTTAGATTCATGACCAGACCGTCACAACTGAAACCCGTTTATACTCGAAAGTTTTTGCGCCTAGATTCTCACGGCGGACAGGTCCATGGGAATAAATGCGCATATGGGGAGCCCCACGCAGTGAATATTTGAATCCCCTTAGGGGGGTGACAATGAGCGCCTCGCTCGAGACATCCTCCAAATCTGCTCCGGAAGCGAATGATGTCGGCACAACTAACAGGCAAACCCGCTTGAGACATCCCCACAAAACGGCCGCGAACGGGACCGTGAGATAACCCCTCGGCGGCTCCTTAGGGACGTGAAAATGAGCGCCTCGCTCTAGACATCCTCCAAATCTGCTCCGAAAGCGAAGGATGTTGAAACAGAAAACAGGCAAGCCGCTGGAGACATCCCCACAGAACGGCCGCGAAGGGGACCGTGAGATAACCATTGGTTGCTCCCCTAAGGGGGGTGAAAATTAGCGCCTCGCTCGAGACATCCTCTAAATCAGCTCCGATAGCGAAATATGCTGGGACAGAAAACAAGCAAACCGCTTGAGGCATCCCCACGAAACGACCGCGAACGGGGCGCGCGTGAGTCTCAGCATGAGTAAGTCTGAGTCGGAGCAGGTCTGAGTATGAGTAGGTATGAGTATGAGTAGGTATTTGTGTGTGAATATGTGTCTGAGTTAGTCTGAGTGTGAGTCAGTCTGTATATGAGTAAGTCGGGGCATGAGGAGGAGAGGGCAGGAGAAGAGTGAGAAGGAGTAGGAGGCGTCCACGTAATAACAAAAAACCATCTTAGGATATGGCGAACATGCAAACTGCACCAAACCCTCGATGGGGATTACCCGTCTGACATGCAACGCCATCCGCGCGGGGCGAACATCACGCGGTGATAACGGACTGGGGCCACCGTCGCACTGTAAAATCCAATCCGTGAGCTCCCATCGGGGCATCCAGGCGCGCGGCGTTCCCCCTGCTGACAGCACGCCCTGGAAGAAACAAAGAAAACGAGCACGTCGCATATTTAGAATGAGGGCGGCCCGGCCATACCAATCGTCGCAACTGCTCCCAAATATGCCGTCCCCCCCCCCCCATCGGCCCTATGTCATTCAAACGTCCTCTGCATTGATGCGAACTGCCACGGCGGCGCACACTGCCCCCAACGACGGCCGACACCGCTGAAGGTGATCATTTTTCATAGAGACAATCACGATGCGACGGCCCATGCGGCCCAAAATGATTCACACCAACCCGAGGACAATCCAAGAGCTCCCAAAAAATACCGCGCGCTGTCAGCGAGGATGCTTTTCGGGCGCCATCAAACTGATCAGACACAAGAAAAAGAAAAGGAACGTCACGCTCTCGCCCTTCTGGGTATTAGAGCGCTCGGCACCACCCGAAGAACCGCCCAAATCGCAGCAAAACGGCCGGAAAGGGCCAGAGGAAATTGAATGCGGCATGACCCCTCCTCTTTGTTATCTTCTACCCCCCGTCACCCCACTTCGCCATCATATTAATCCCCTGCCTCCTCACGTTACCCCCCTTTTCTCCTGTTATCCTCCTCCTCCTTCTCATCCTCCTTCGCCTTCGTCGTCCTGGTGTTCTCCCACTCCCTCGCCCCCCTCAACCGCCCTCGTTATCCCTCCCCTCCCTTTCCCCGTGTCATCCACGCCTTCCGCCTCATCCTCCTCCTCCTCGCCGCATTGCCCCTTCCCCCCCTCATTCGCGCGCACTTCCCATTCCACGCTCGAGACATCCTCCAAATCTGTTCCGAAAGCGAAGGCTGTTGGAACAGATAACAGGGACACCGCTTGAGACATCCCAACAACACGGCCCCGAACGGGACCGTGAGATAAGCCCTGGCGGTTCCCCCTATGGGGGGTGAGAATGAGCGCCTCGCTTGAGACATCCTCCAAATCTGCTCCGACAGCGAAGGATGTTGGGACAGGAAACAGGCAAACCGCTTGAGACATCTCCACAAAACGGCCGCGAATGGGACAGTGAAATAACACGTGGTGGTTTCCGTCAGGGGGGGCTGAAACCAGCGTCCCGCCTGAGACATCCTCACAGTCTGCTCTGGTAGCCAAGGATGTTGGGACAGAAGACAGGCAAACCGCTTGAGGCACCCCCGCAAAACGGCCACGAACGGGGCGTGCGTGAGTCTCACCATGAATAAGTCTGGGTGGCGATGAAGATTATGCATTCACGCAGGAGGATATCGATGGGCTCGGACAAGACCCTAAATTCTTGGATACATTTATGCTTTCGCCAGGCCCGCCGACGTGCCAGGATCCATGCTGGATCAAGGTCCACGTGGCTGCGCCGCCTCATTTGGGCGTACCCCTCACACGTTTCGTTGTCTCAAATGGAGGTCCACCGAAGGCCCCAGTGGCATGGCCCCATGGCGGTACCGCCCATGCGGGCGCACCCCTCGCACGGCTCGTGGCCCCGCATGGGGCTCACTCGAAGGCCCCAGTGGCAGGGTCTACATGGCGGCTGCGCCCCATTGGGGCGCACCCTTCACTCGGTTCGTGGCCCCGCGTGGAGTACCACTGGAAGCCCCATTGGCGTGGTCGACATGGCGGCGCCGCCTCATCTTGGCGCGTTCCCCGCGCAATCGTGGCCCCATATGGTACCCGCAGCAGCATGTGGTTGGTTATTTCGCCAGGCCTATTTTTGTCCTGGTCCTGACAGGCCTTTGCGGGGCCCCTTGGGGCGACCGCGGGGGCCCCTTGAGTTTCTTGACGTGCGCGGCCGCCCGATTTCAGGCGCAAGGGAGTTGAGTTGCGTCGCCTGTTTCCCGCGTCGCGCGCGGGGCGGACTTCGGACTTCATGAGCACTGTGCCCACAGAGCATCCTGCGTACGCCTGTGCTGCTGGCATCGAGGTTACAGATTGGAGGCCAAAGGTGCCGCGATCACTTCGGCGCCCCCTGTGAGTGGTCCGTCGGGACACGTACTCCACGAGCAAATGTCTTTTCCCGTTCGTCATCATCTGCTCTTGCCGCCCCCCTCGCCCCCTCCGTGTTGTTCTTGCCTTGCCCTGGTTCGCGTTCCTTCTTGTTATCCTTCTGCGTTTTGCGCGTGCGCCCTTGCTGCCACATGACCCGTCTGCCTCCCTGCATCTATGCATTGCGGGCGGCGCCCAGCCGACAAAAGAAAACGATTGCCCCGACAGAATCGGCCGACAAAAAACCAAACCTCCCCGACAAAAAACACACGCGACAAAAAAAAATCGGCCCGACAAAATGGGCCGACAAAAAAAAAGAGGCGGCGCGACAAAAAAATCGGACCGACCCAGGAAAGTGTCGCGACAAATTCGTTCCTGGCTGTCGCTGCCGAGCGGATTCAGTGTAAATTCACAGTTAGGATGCACCCCCCGGAAATTTTGTTCGACGGTCCGGGTGGGCATTTTGTCGGTCAGTTTGGTTGGGCTGTTTGTCGGGGCGGTC